GGGGGGCAGAAAGTGGAGATGAAAGCGAGCAACAGAATATTATTAGAGAGCAGGAAAGATGTTGGAAAGAGAAAATTTAGAGAAGAAAATTTTCCGTCGCTCTCCGGATTCGAACCCGCGACTTATTGAATGAGCGGTGAACACCGTAACCTTTAAACCACGAGAACCCCCAGATAATACAAGTAGTTTAATTTGATTCTTCGAGAAGCTGGCATTTAAAGCATCATATTATTGCTTTTGCACCTTTCATTTCGGTTGAGCATTCTGAAAGAAACGTAGTACATGTATCTATTTTAGGATTGATAACAGATGTTTGTCTAACGACCTACAAAATTTCAGGAGAGAAACCAATTCTGATGAAACCAAGCTCGTGATAGTTGCATGTACTTCTTTGTCATTGTACTTCTGTAACAATAGACAATGTTTGCCTTCTGTCCGCGCTTTATTTCTTTCCCCCCACCTTCATTTCTAATGATAATTATACGTAACAGGTTTGTGTGTGGGGGGAGAGGAGGGGTGCAAAAGTAGGAATACAGCAACTATCCCAAAGTAGGTAGACTATACAGCAAGTATCTCATCACTGTTATCATACGTACGTATTGTTAGCACATTAAATCTAGATTCGATAAACTATGACTAATGACACTGAAAATATACCCGAACCAAAACGAAGGGCAACAGATTTAATGTGCTAATAGTTATTAATGAGGGAAAAAAAGTTTTATAAGCATGACGTGATCCATACTGTATGTTCTTACTTTTGCAACTCTATTATTACAGCCTACCTAATTATTTTTTAGGAGCGCCACTGGTAGTTTGTAAATTTGTTGTTTTTTACACCTATGCTATGTTTTGGTTATTCTTTGTGATTTTGATGTACTTTTTCATAGGGCCAATAGGTGTCTGTTTAAAAGAAATGAAGTTTTTTTTTTCTGGGTTTTTTAAAGAAACCTCTCACAGGTCCATTTAAGAATAACTTTGGGCTTACAAAAGTAGCCTACAATAATCTCCTTTTTGTCTTTCCATGTAATACTTTTCTCAAGCTTACAGCATCATAGGGGGGGGGGGGGGGGGGGGGGGGGGGGGGGTGGGGGAGGGGGGGGGCTACGGAGTACTTTTAAAAAATATCCCCTGGATGAAGAAAAGCTTTTTGGGGTTTAAAAGCTGTATAACTAATAGCATAGGCCTACTCACTGCGCAGTTAGGCCTAATTCTTCTTACTTACGGTAACAGTATTCGGTTAGTAAAGTAGCCACACGTGACAGCGTGTTTTTCCTCGTCTAGCCCATACCTCGTGCACAACTGACAAAACTCACCAAAAAAATTCTACAAAATAATAAATAAATAGATAAACAAATAAATACATAAATACATAAATACATAAATAAACAAATAAATAAATAATGAATGAATGAATGAATGAAAGAATGAATGAATGAGTGAATGAATGAATGAATAAATGAATAAATAAATAAATAAATAAATAAAGGTTTTCTCCGTTATATCTGTATCATATTCTAATTTGGCTCTCGGCCACGTGAAGTTTTAGCTTTTGTAAGAGTTTTACGGCACTTGCAACACAAATAGGTCTTATGCGGAAGATTAGATCAGATCTTACTTGAGAGGAACATGCAAAGAAAATGATGTAGAGAAATAAGGAAGGTAGATGTTTAAAAGTGGAGAAGGAGCAAACCACACGAGAGGAGGCCAGATCCGAAACATGTTTATATATATATATATATATATATATATAGAAAGAGAGAGAGAGAGAAAGAGAGAGAGAAGGAGAGAGAAAGGGAGGGAGAGAGAGAGAGAGTCTATGCAATAGTACAAATTATGTAAATAATTTGTTAAGTGTCTTAATTTGGAATACATACGTTTATTCTACCAAAAGGAAAGTAGAACGAACATTCTATACAAGGTCGAGACAAGTGGAAGGAAACCACACTCTGATTCACCAGAAAAATGGTAGATCTAACTTGCTACCTCAGAAAATTACACAAAGTTCCATCAAGCATTTTTTGGCCGTTTTGGGTTACTAAGAGCATGACGTCAGAAACCAACATCAATATTCAATCTGCCCTATCAAAATCATAAGATTGTTCAGAGTCATTATCAGGATATTCAAAGAATTGCATTCGAAAAAGCTAGACATGATGTGAAACTCAAAGACACTGACGACAAATTTCTCAAAACTAGGTGACGAACTGGAACACAGCTCAACCTGCTCTAACAGCCACCTGCCCACGACAATCACCTGTACAAACGACCTCTCCCCATTTCCCTCTTGGGTTAAAAAAAATAATAAATATATATTACAGGGGGAGTCCCGGCTATAGCAGGACCACCGGGACGACGTGACATCCCTGTTGTTACCTGTTGACAGACGAGGATCAAGTTTTTATATATTATTATGCAGGCCTACACTGTAACTAATGATTAACGAATGGGATCGTTTTTATTGCATAGGTGCTATTACCACCAACCAATTTCTTAGTTATTGCTCCTTTCTTTTCTGTTGTTACTTTTTCTCCTCATCTTTATAATATTATCACTTTTTCTAATATCCAAGTTTCATCCTATAATTTGAGATGCACGGGCAATAATAATACTAATTTTGCTTATTTATATAATAGCGCACATCCGTGCTCTGCAACTTAGCTTGCTCTGTACGAATTACGGTTATTCGTAACCGAATACATGTAGTTATCGTAGTCAGGGAAAGGAATGCACGACATAGATCTGTTGAAGATCTTGCGCCCGCCGCGCGCCGCCCAGTGCCTACTTTTCATTCAACCATTTATTCCCGCCACAAGGGAGGCAATGCTGACGATGAGTCACGCTAATATAAGTCATTGACTGGATTTGCATCAACTCCAAAGTGCATCCAGCTTTCGACCCCTGCGCACACAGTGTTACACACCACTAAGTTATGTGAACACAGTCGACGTACTGTCTGTGGGTCACTCAGATGCAATTCGCCATGTTCTGTGTTGTCTTTGCTTCATTTTCTTTCTTTTTGGGGGGATTTTGTTGTCTTGTCCACTTGTTTTGAATATTGTCTTGCCAATACTTGCACAAACTGTAATACCGGGTGCCCATTGCAGATGGGGTCAGATGGGGTCAGGTCGGGTCGGGTCGGGTCTGGGGTGATCGCCCGACTCGTTGCCTGAAAACAAACGCTTTTGTCTAGGAGGCAACGAGTCTGGTGCGATCTGCTTGTGCCACGGTAGCCGCTTTGCACCCTCAATCTGGCTAGCAAAACGCCCCGCCCCGATCTCCCAGTGGGCACCCCGTATTATAACCGAGTGTGTCTGTCCGCATGCCTGCTCAAATGAACTTTTGATCAAATCTATACATCATAATATTTGTGGTTCAGGAAAAAGCCTTTGACCAAGTAAATAGAAACAAGCTATGGAAGATCCTTGAGCAGTACGAGATCAAGGGACAACTGCAAGACACTATCAAGGCTATCCATGCCAACAGCAGAAGCGCGGTCTGCATTACCAGTGGAACGTCGGACTGGTTTCCAGTAACAGCCGGAGTCAGGCAGGGCTGCAGTCTTTCCCCTCTGCTCTTCGTGATCTACATAGACCAGATTACTAAGGAGGCCAATCCAGACCCAGAGGCACTGAACGAAGTCATGTTTGCAAACGACTTTGCAATGATGAATAACAGGACTCAACTGCAGGAGCATATGAACCAACTAAATGCCCCAAAACCAACCAGCTCTGGGGGCATATAGCATCACATATTCTGGCTGGAGAGCCAGAGGAACTCCAAGGCGACGCTGAAGTGAATCTGTAGCAGACATCCTCAAGCTCACGGGATGTCCCTCCTAGGCCACTCGCCTTGCTTTAGACAGACACCTGTATCTCCCCACGACACCAACCGGTACAAACGGAAGAATAAAGTAAAGTAAGTAAGATCTAGGAGACGGGGCTTAGGGATTTATTATAAGTATAAGCCTGCTGTAGCCGAAGTCCTTATCGAGTCCTTATTATAAGCACATCTGTCGTATATCCATGCACACTGAAATATATTTTTATGCCTGATGATTGCTAAATAAATATAATTTAAAGAATATGCAACGTACAGACACACTCATCAATTAACGCATTCAAATTTAATGAACATGCACTTTTGACTTTTAGGGCCTCTTGATCGTTGAACTAGTTGAACAGTCCTCTCCTAGACGACGCTATTGTGCTCCGTCTACAAAAACACGTGACGGCACTCTCTCATCCCATTGGCTCACATGGAGATAGGACAAAACAAAATTTATCGAAATTAATGCTTCTGGAGTTCTGTCAGCTGTACTCTCTCTTTTTTAAAAATCCGCTTTGGACATACGGCAGCTGGGTTGGGTTCAGGATATCTCAACAAACGTGATTAGTCTTGAAGCTTATTGGAGATACAACACATGGGAATTTGAGTTCATCTAAAGTGGACAAATGACAGTTGTACTCTGGGCCGAAGTTGTTATAACCATGAGTATTATAAGCGGGGGCCAGTGTATACTGACACTGTTCAAGACGTCCACCTGTCTAAGACAATCCTTTTCCTTCTCGACCATGGGTGGTGGCTGTCTTGGTCAATTTCGACACCAAAATGGGTTTGCCACTTCTTTGAACACCCCTAAGATAAGTTGCGAGATGATTTTTACCTCTATTTATTTACGAAAGGACTTGAACTGCCCGCGAATTCCTGACCTCCGCCTTGTAGGAATTGGAAACAACAGACTGATCGTCATGATTCTAGAATGTATGATATGTGTGTGTGTGTGTGTGTGTGTATGTGTGTGTTTGTTTGTTTGTGTATGTGTGTGTTTGTTTGTTTGTGTATGTATGTGTGAGTGTGGGTGTACGTATGTGTGTGTGTGTGTGTGTGTGTGTGTGTGTGTGTGTGTGTGTGTGTGAGAGAGAGAGAGAGAGAGAGAGAGAGAGAGAGAGAGAGAGAGAGAGAGAGAGAGAGAAAGAGAGAGATAGAGGGAGGGGGAGGGGAGGGGTGTGTACTTACTCTGTGGTAAAATGGCAGTATGGGGATTTTGCCTAGACTTTATTTTTTAAATCTGCATTCTGCGTTGGCGGGGTGTCTTATGTCGTTGTTTTGTGGAAGGTGAGTTTGGAAAAACATCACGCGTGACTCATTGTCATGGGGGAGTCAGGAAGTGAGTCCAAATGCAAAATAAAACAGCTCACATGAGGGCACCACTTCATTATAATATTTTTTTCAAGTGTTATAATGCATGTACTCAAGGCATAATGCAACTAAAGACTCGTATTCGTATTACTCATCGCTTTATTAAATGGTGTGGTTAAAGAATCTAATCTGAACATGTAAGGCCAGTTTGCTTGAAATCTGGCCTGAAGTCACGAAAGGTGTCGGCTCTTTAATTCTTAGGCTGAGCACACATGCGACAATATCTGCTAGATTTTCTACTTTTGATTCGCTTTGGGAACGTTGGCCAATTTAATCGTCTTTTAGAGACGCTATAATTATAATCCTCACAATCCCATAGAGCGGTGCACCACCGTATGTGGTGTAGCGTTTAAGAGCTTCGGCGCCGTCGCCCGCTGAAGAACCGAGTTCGACTAGCAAGTGGGGAGATTTTTTTTTCGAGTACCTCAGTCTTTCTGATAGGACGCTGTATAAATTATCCCTCTCAGCACAGGTTGACCCTGACAGACAGGGTCTAAGCCTGCCCCCTTAATGATCCGAAATGCGTCAACGGGGGCGTGATAAAGCACCAACATATTTTGTTCAGATTTTTAGAAATTATTTCAGAGTGGAGAATGCAAACATTCGAACACGTCCACCCATTTACGAAGTTTTCTAATTACTTGTCCCCACCCACTTGACCCCGTGTGTGTATGTGTGTGTGTGTGTGTGTGTTTGTGTGTGTTTGTGTTTGTGTGTGTGTGTGTGTTTGTGTGTGTTTGTGTGTGTGTGTGTGTGTGTGTGTGTGTTTGGGTTTGTGTGTGAGTGTTCGTTCGCGTGAGTGTGTGTGTGTGTATGTGTATGTGTGTGTGTGTGTGTGTGTGTGTGTGTGTGTGTGAGAGAGAGAGAGAGAGAGAGAGAGAGAGAGAGATCGAGAGATTGCGGGATCAGAGAGTTTGTATGAATGTGTGTGTGTGTTTACACGTGCGATAGTTTTACTTCTATTGGTGATTCCAACTTCGGAGGCTAATACCCAGTGTGTACACTTCCAATTTGATCCATATTATTCAGCCGGGGCCAGCCAGATTTATTTTCATTGAAGGGTACCCCCAACCCCACCCTCCAAAAAAACCCCAAAAAACCCAAACCCAACTACCATTAGATCTACCATTTTGGCACATTGTGTACAAGAAAATATTATCTGCTTGCCGTTTGTGCCGAAGATTATAATAAGGTCTGCATGTGACTTATGAAAATGCACTTGTTTCCTTTTAACTTTAATCTTTTTAATTTGTTGATTCGGGAGTTATGACTTATAAGATGAAAGCATTAAATTTAGAATAGAAATAAGCTCAATGCTATTTTTCAACCCATGTGGTCATAGACTCTGGTGCTGATGACTCCGCTTTAATTCCTTGAAAATAGGCGTTCTTGAACTTTGATTGAGTGAAGATTTTTTTCAAGGCTACCTTATCATTTGGACCTACCGGTATATATGAAACGTTTCTTCTCGAACTACAATGCATTTAATGCTGTTCAACATTAGCCGCCCAAGGTAGGCGCAGATTGCCCAAGACAGAGTCCCGTGGCGAGATTGCAGGATTTGTAAAAGCAACTGAATCGCTGCAGCTGAGGAGCACGCACAGGATTTCCATAAAAATCAGTGTCAATAGATATCCGACTGCTTCTACCATCCCATTGGCCACACTGTGACAAACTGTCTGGCGCTGATGGGCCTGATCAGCCATCTACGCAATCTCTCCCGATGCCTCAGTGGCTAGATGGTCTTTGCCGCCTCGACGGACAATCATCATCATCATCATCATCATCATCATCATCATCATCATCATCATCATCATCATCATCATCATAATCATCAACGACGACGATGACCTATACCGCCTCTTAGACAACTTCATTTGTATGATGACGCAAAACCAAAACTTACCATTGACACCACCCCCCCCCCCTCCAACCATCCCACCCTCCTTTCTAGCCAGTGGGAAACCGACCAGGTTTTCAATTATTCATTTAGGTTTTTTGTTGCTGTTGTTGTTGTTATTTTTGTTGTTGTATGTTGTCGACATGTCCAGTATCCGTGAAGTCATTTCCCCCGGAACTATGACATAATTGGAGGGCACCTTGCAGTTTCGTTAGGTAACCATATCAACCGTTCCCTACCCAAGAATTAAAAAGTTCTGTCTGCTCAGTAAGTAGTTTTGAGAAATATGACGTTAAGAAATTTGAGTTTCACGTGTCAAGCTCTTTCGAATGCAATTATTTGAATATCTTGATAACGACTCCGAAAAATATTACTATTTGATGGAGAAGATAGAAAATGTATATATTTATATGTAGGGGGCTCTCGTGGCCTAGAGGTTAAAGTGTTGACCTCTCATTCAAAAGTCCCGGGTTCGAATCCGGGTAGCGACCGAAATATTTTCTTCTCTAAAATTGTCTCCTTTCACCTCCTTTCCTGCTCTCCAGCAATGCTCTGTCGTCTGCTTTCTGCTCCCACCCCCTCACCTCCTTTGCCCCCTCCTCTGGGCTCCTGACTCTTTCTGTAGCCTTTCTAGTGCTACTCCTTGGCTCCTACTTACTGCTGTCTTTCTGCCACACCCCTGATCTTCTGGTAGGAAAGATCTACACCTAGCCTTCTCGGACAAGGGCGAAAAATCTAGGAAGGCCTGTGTGCAAGTTGCGCACGTTAAATATCCCTTGGTGGTCTAAAATCGATAAGAATAGGCTTCGGCCGCCACCCGGGCAAAATTCAAAATTTCCTACCAACTGAAAATATTAGGTGTGTCCCGCGCGCTCATATGACATTATGCAGTTGCGAGCGCTGTAAAACACTTACAAAAAAATAAATAAAAAATAAAATATACATCTGGTTTCTGATCTTATGGTCTTGGTAACTCAAAAGTGCCAAAAATGTCAGATAGAACTTTGTACATGTAATTCTAAGGTAGCGCGTTTTCAACGGTGCCTCAGCGTTTTGACCTTTCTTCATTGCGATTGTGGCATTACGGGGTTGCGTTGGGGCCAGTCTTCTAGATTATTTTACACCTGAAGGAGGGTTTCGAAATAGTTTTTGTAAGAGTTTTACTGCGCTTGCAACACAATATGGTCATATAAGTGCCGAAGATTCGAGGTGTTATATAAGAGAGTAAAAAAAAAAAAGTAAAGTTGTTCCCGCATCCGATCCGGACATTGGGGATTGCCTTGTTAGTGAGACAACTTCCTGGGACCTTCGGCATGTTGCGGTAGGGTGGCCAGTTCCTTTCCACGCCGCCTTTACTTCCCCAACTCGAAGTCAGGTTCCCATTACTGCTGGGTGGGCTGGAGAGGGTGAAAAAAATCCGAGTCCGAACCGCGGCTCGAATCCAGACTTTTCGCTTCGGAGACGAGAGTACTAACCGCTCCGCCGCCACAAGAGATTAACAAATACAAAAAAAAAAAGAAGGAGTATAGATCAGGACAATAGATGTTTGATAGGAAAGAAGGAGCAAACCACACCAGAGCACCTGCTAACCACCCACTGGAGCAGGTTTAGGCATGTCGTCTCTTAGTTAAGAAATAGCAGCTGTTTGGTCCAAATTTTCACTCAACAATAAGCTTTACAATCTATATCATTACTCATGCAGAACTGATAGCATTCTTAAACATTTCAACTTTCTGGGAAGCATGCTTTCAGTGCAAGCTGCCATTTTACAGCCGCTAAAGCATTAACATATTCGTGAATTTTTTTGTCTTCTATGGTTGGATATCCATTCACAACTGAGTGAAGTGAGGAAAATTAGTTTTCCCGAGGTCACAAAGTCAGGTCTGAGTCTCGATTCCCCAACCTTACGACTTCGAGTCTGGTAGCCTAACCACTGGACTACCGATGTTACATTCTTTTACTTAGGTCTGTGTCTTTGGTGTGTTCGAAGTTTTTCATCAGTGACGGGGATCAGATGGGTGTCACTAGGGTGTGTCTTTGAGCTAAAAAACAACAACAAACAAACAACAAAACAAACGAAACACAATAAAAGAAAGAAAAAAGCTTCACAGTGGCAATCAGCAATGGCATGCTTATGAGATTGTTCTGTATTGGTGTACTAATGTGTATTTGTACTACTTATCTATGTAGATCTATGAGTGTGTGTATTTATGTATTTATGTACGAAATTGTGTATATATGTTTGCCATTGTAAATCAACTTGCCCTCCTGGGATGAATAAAATAGCCATTGTAAACCATTCATTTGTCCTTCTTGGATCAATAAAAATCTAGGGATGATTTATTTTATTATTATTCAAACTGTCAAAAGAAGCTGGTACAAGTTTCTCATTAGACCTGTCTACCCAGGGAAAAAGGAAATGAGGTGGAGGAAAACAAAGTCTAACCAAGTAATCGCTTACCATGCTTGTTGGGAAGCAGGGGTTAAGTGGGTGGGTCAAGTATATCTATTTAAAAAGCTTCATGAATGAGTGAACTTGTTCGTATATTTGTGTGCTTCAGTGTGTGTGTGTGTGTGTGTGTGTGTGTGTGTGTGTATGTGTGTGTGTGTGTGTGAGAGAGAGAGAGAGAGA